GGTTCAGAAAGATGTTAATATTACTCAGGCTCATGGGGATCAAGACGTGCAACGACCTACACCTATCCGACCACCTTTGGAAACTACTGATCAGATGAGTCAATCATCGGATGAGGAATGACAATTATACACATCTATGAGGAAGAAAAAGAATGAAAATCTACTTGAGCTCAGAAATCTAATGGATAATACTTTGGCTACTACGGGCAATGGTACACACCTTACTAATTTGTTAACCGGCTCACTTCCGAGAACTAGAGGGAGGAGAACTAAAGTGGGACGTCCCTAGCACTTTTGTGCATGTATGGTTACTTGGATCCTCACAATAAACCACTTGTACTTATATTAAAATATTATCACATTTCTGTGCATTTTTTAAAAAATTAAATGAGATCCATGTTAGAAATATTTTATTTTATTGAGAAATTTTTAAGCTGTCTTACTTCTCTTGTATACTAAGGTAGTTGTTGAGATTCATGCTAGTTACTATATATATATATATATATTGAATCCATGTAATACAAGGCTCTGCTAGGGTTGGGCGCAATGGGCGTTTTGGTGACAATTTGTAGGTTTCAAGTAAGCACCCTTCAATCCATCCCCCTCTATGGATAAATATTTCGCAGAAGTTGCGGTCGGCTCAGTAGCGGTCAATTCCAAAAATTATATATTTCCTCAATCGTATCATGATACTCTGAAGGGGGCGGGCGAACAACCATTTGTGCGGAAAGCTGGAAGAAAAAGTGGGAAACTAGCTCTTTTTCTCTTCGAAAATGATACTTACAATCTTGCTACTAGGTGCAAATTTGCTTTGGTTGGTAAGTTTGTCTATGGTGATCCGAAAATGGATGTTATTAGAAAGGCCTTTGTTAGTTTAAAATTGCTTGGTGAATGGAAGATTGGACAGTTGGATGACAGACATATTCTTATTCAACTGGGCCGTGAGGAAGATTATGCGTGGATATTTGCTAAAAAATATTTAAAAATTGACAACAAGAGCATGAAACTGTTGAGGTGGTCAGTGGACTTTGATCCCTAAACAGAACCTCCAACTATACCCATCTAGTGCAAATTCCCTAGGTTAAAGCTACATTTATTTAATCATGAAAATCTTTTTTCTTTAGGTGCAATATTTGGGCTTCCTATGAAAATGGACATTCCTACCTTCAACCTGACTAGGCCCTCTACGACTAGAATTTTGATTGAACATGATATAACTCAAGACGTGGCTAAAGAGATCTAGATTGGCTTTGCACATAATGAATATTGGCAAAAGGTTGTGGTGCAGCAACACCCTCATTATTGTTCCCATTGTCGTATGTTTGGCCATCTTTTGGAAAACTAAAAGAGGACTTGAATCATTTAGTGGAGAATGTGATAACTACCACTAGAGGAGATAATCTGGGCAATCACTTAGAAAGAGTTGAATTGAGGCCAGTGGAGGAAGTTATACCTTCTGTTGAGTTGATTTTAGCAAAGGAGGGTAGGGTTGAGTTAGAAGAGGGGGTGCCTGAGATTCTATCCCTACTTGGTGGAGAAACTGCATGCACTCCTATGGAGGAGGCACTCGCTACAGCTAGACAGGATTTGGAAGGTGAATGGCATATAAAGAAAAGCATGAGGAAAAAAAAGGGTAATCAAGAACTTAAAACACTTGGAAGCTAACATATAATTGATCAGGACCTTCACTACTATTTTGATGGAAACAGAAAAGCCCACCTCCCTAGGTCTTCTAGGAGAGTTCAAGCTTATTCTTATGATTAACATGTTTATATGAAATATTAGGGGAATTGCTGATCCCAACTTGATAGATTAAAACATCTAATGAGGGTCAATAAAATTTGGTGTTTTGTTATTTTGGAGCCTTTGGTGAATTTTGATGAGGAAAAGCTTGGAATTCTTTGCAGAAACTTTATATGCATCACTAATGCTCAAACAAAATTTGGTTTTTCCATAGAAGGTACCTAGATGTGGTGGTGGTTAAGAATGAGCAACAATTCTTACATGTGTATGTGAGGAAGGAAGAATTTAACGACTTCGCTACATTTGTGTATGCCAACACTTTTACTCTGCTAGGTTGGAACTTTGAAAACAACTACTAGACTTAAGTCAGAATATGAAGGATAATTGGTTACTTGGTTGAGATTTCAATACCATTATGGAGGCTGGTTTGTATGATTTAGGTTTTCCTGGGCCTAGATTCACATGGAGACAGGAGAAAGTTTGTGAAAGA